CCATGCATCTTCTTCTGAGCACCTAAGACATCCCTTGGGAAAAGCCAGACCCAGGCTTGAAGCCCATTCTACCTTCTGGAAGCTGAGGTTCAGTTCATGGACTCTCTTTGTGGTCCATGCATCTTCTTCTGAGCACCTAAGATATCCCTTGGGAAAAGCCAGACCCAGGCTTGAAGCCCATTCTACCTTCTGGATCTCTTTGTTCTCAGACAGCTAGACAGCAGGAGGCCAGAGCCTGCAAGTTCAAAGCCCCCTCTACAGATGGCCAGTCAAAGGCTTTGGTCGGTCCAGGCTGCTAGGGGGAAGAGTACATTGTAATAGCTGCATCTGTAACCAGGGTTAGGGTGAAAAAGAGTGACTCTCTGCCCCTTCTTAGTGTGTGCTTGGTAATCTCTTTGCAGACCCCACCTGGCTCAGGCTGCAGGCTGGAAGGGCAGCTGCATGGCCTGCATTGGCTCTGAGCCCCCTGAGCCCATGAGGTTTCTTCCTTCCTTGGTTCTCTCAAAGAACACAAGGTTATGTAAAATAATTGTGCAAATATACTGGCTGTGGGGGGAATTGCAGAGGCCACAAACAGCCTCTGAGTTCCTGCTGGGTTTGGTCATGTCACAGTGGAAACAAGTGTAGTCAGGAGAGTGGATGCCCAAGGATTACAACTGATGCTGGAAAGTATTGAGCAAGATTCTGTGATCTCCTCATCCATAGTGCCCTCTTTTGGAGGGTATTACATGCATGTTCTATTCCACTGAGGCAGAAGTGAGCCTCCATGCCTGATCAGAGCACACAGCAGAACCAGAGTTGCTTCAAGGTCAGAGGTCACCAGTCCTATATCAGACCAAAGGTGTTTTCTCTCTACATCCATGGCATTCAGGTTGTATCCAGGGAAATTCATTCCAGGGGCCCTGCTGAAGGCTGAAGAATCTGCTCACAGTCCCTAAGTTCTAGAGGTTCTTAGAGGGCCCCCAAATTCAGTGCCGACTGACAGACTCCCGTCAGGAGTCCTTTGGTGATGTGGCCTCAGCATAATAACGGGCCTTGGAGGAGAGGTAGGAGCAGAGCAAGCTACAGGTGGCTGGCCAGAATAAGAGTTTGCATGGTGGCCTGGGTCCTGTCCTAAGCATCTTCTGAGGCCTGAGGCCTAGAAGCCAGTACCACTCAGGGATTTTGACTGTCTGGTCAGGGCCAAAGTCACTGGCGCATGAGCCAGCCAACTGTCAAATAGGTAATCTTTCTTTGGGGGTTCTGAGCAGATTAAAGTTGACTCACTACCCAAAACAGGCCATGATGGAAGCCATGAAGCTGAGGGGCAGGGGAATGGTCAAAGTGTGACCTGTTGCTAAAAGACAGAAACCACAAGAACTACATCGAGGTTCAAGGACCAGTACTCAGTAAGATTCTTGATGATAGTCACTAGCTCACAGAGAGGCCAGGAATCAGAGAATCCTCACACCTGGCAAGCAGGGATCTGGGAATGCTTAATCTCTAAGGCAATCTTTGGGCCCAAAACCATGTCAGAAGGGAAGTAGGATGCTTCAGTTCCAGAAGGGCCATCTTCTCAGGATGTCCATAAAGGACAATGGATAAAGGAGATATTTCCTAGTGGAAAGGACCAAGAGCAATCAGTTTTGTTGACTGAGAAACTCACTCCACTGTCCAGAAGGATGTGTTATATACTGTGGATTAGTGACAATTCTTTTCTCTTCTCCCCTATTCCAAATGGAAAATATATTTTAAAAATTGTTATCCTATTTCACATTGGTTATGAAGGGGTAGCTAACTTTATCTTTTAGCCATAGATTGCAAAATCATAAGAAGTCATATCCAGACCCAATTGTGAACTGCACATCACCAAGGAATCCTGGACTGTGGGCTCAATAAAGCAACTGGATATGATTCCGTTTTTCTACCCACTGGGAAGTAGCTGAATGTGTTTTTGGTTAGGTCTAGGAACTATTGCATTGTTAGGCAGATACATTTTTGAAATTGTATATTTGTCAAGAAAAGTGTAGGTAGGGCCGGCCCGGTGGCGCACTGCTGCAGTGCGCTGCTTGGGAAGCGCGGTGGCGCTCCCGCCGAGGGTTCGGATCCCACATACAGACCGGCCGCTCACTGGCTGAGCGAGGTGCGGGAGCAACACCGAGGGTTGCGATCCCGTAGCCGGTCCCGGTCCGGTACGGGCGCGACACTGAGGGTCGCGATCCGTTGCTGGTCACGAAAAAAGACAAAAAGGAAAAAAAAAAAGAAAGAAAAGTGTAGGTGGATGCAGTAAAGGGTGGAATATAGCAGATGCATATTGCTTATCTGCTCACCATCCCTTTCTTTCGGGACCCATTTCTCCCCATCTACTCAGTCCTGGTGAAGTTGTCAGTTTTGGTGGCCTATTCTTCCACCCTAGAGATAGGGACATGTCCAATGCTGGCCAAAGTCTTCCCTAGGATTTTCAAGCTAGAACTAGTGAGGCCAACAGATAGAAGGAAGCAGAGCCAAGAGATGCAGACATCATTATTTGAACCCCTAGATCCAGCCATGCCTGAAGGCAGATACATCCTTTGATTTATCAGTTATATAAGGCAATTGATTTCCTATTAGCTTAAACATGTTCGAGTTGGATTTTTGACACTTGCAACTGAAAAGTTCCAGTCTAATACATGCACACACAAACAGTAACACAAACACCATGTTGTTCAAACTCATCAGACATTATACAAGTCTTCTATGATCTGACCAGGAGTCAGCAAACTTTTCATCTAAAGGACAAGATAAATATTTTAGGCTTTGTGGGACACATATGGTCTCTGTCTCATTTTCTTTTTTGATTTATTTTGTTTTTACAACCCTTTAAAAATGTAAAAATCATTTTTAGTTTGTAGGCCATACAAAAATAGGTCACAGGCCAGATTTGGCCCATAGACCATAGTTTGCCAAGCCCTGATCTAGACCATGCCAACCCATGAAGCTTTGGAGTCACATGGTCTGCAAGTCCCTAGCCCACACCCTAAAGTATGAAACAGAATACTTTGCCATTGTGGTTCAAGTGTCTTGACATGACTTGGTAATGAGTTAAAGTTCAGGGTAGAGTTAGGAATGGGGAAAGGGTCTTGTCTTGTACCCATTGCCTGCCACATAATAGGCACAGAGTAAATGGCAGTCATTATTATTTCTTGGTAAAAAGGGTAATTTTTCAAAATGATGCAGCTGTCCAAATGGCTTTGACCAAATGTCCCAGTTCATCCTCAAAGACCCTTTCCCTCCTTAATCTCCTTCAGAAAGCCTTTCTTAGTCCTCCCCCACCAATAAAATCTGAATTAGGTACTCTTCTTGCTAGCACAGACCCGTGCAGCCCTCTATTAAAACTGCACTATTGGGCCGGCCCCGTGGCGCGCTCGGGAGAGTGCGGCGCTGGGAGCGCAGTGACGCTCCCGACGCGGGTTTGGATCCTATGTAGGAATGGCCGGTGCGCTCGCTGGCTAAGCGCGGTGTGGACAACACCACACCAAGGGTTGTGATCCCCTTACCGGTCACGAAAAAGACAAAAAAAAAAAACAGTGGACAACACCACACCAAGGGTTGTGATCCCCTTACCGGTCACGAAAAAGACAAAAAAAAACCAAAAAAACTGTACTATTGGTCTGTCTTTCTTCTTAATTCTGAGTACTTGGAATATGCCCAAGCCCTAGCGCCTAGAACAGCACTTAGTATGTAGCACTGAGGGGACTCTATGCCTCCACATGAATATCTGTTTGAATGTGCAGGTGCTATGTCTCTGTGTCCAGGGTGGTCAGTCTCTGTGTCCACATTATGCAGGTTTTTCTCTCAGCTGGAAATTATTTGAAGATGTACACCACACCTTACCTGGTAATGTTACTGACATTTCTATTTTTCATTCCCATTCCCTCCAAAAATGCCCTTTTACATCTTCATTAAACACTACTTTTGTCATCTTAACATCCTTATAAAATTCAGAAACTTATTTTTCTCTGTAGTATCAAGTCTGATTTTTTAAAAGATTCTTCATTGATGCATCTCCTGTGTATTCAGGTATTTCTAAGTGGTTATTTTGACATTTTTTACATTTTATATTTAAATCTCATATGATCTTTTAGGGAACATATCATTTCACAGATGAGGAAGCAACCTCTTTCACAGAATTAAGTGGAGGAATTTGAACAAAATTCTTGTTCTAACCTATTACCAGGTCTTTGCTGTATATGCTGATGCTGTTTGATAGACTTTCCAGTCTTGTCTCTCAATTAGTCCTTATTCTTTGGGTCAATATGTTCACTATAATATTGTCATTTATAATGTCACTTAAGTTCATTGCTATTTCTTTGTCTTTGCTCATACATTTTACTCCATCTGAATGTCTTATTTCCTTCCCTGGCCTTATCACACCTCTTTTGTGAAGTTTTTGTTTGTTTGTTTGTTTGTTTTAAAGGTGACTGGCAAGGGGATCTTAACCCTTGACTTGGTGTTATCAGCACCACACTCTCCCAGGCCAGCCCCTCTTTTGTGAAGATTTACCTGACTACTTTTATTGAAGTTTCAAAGCACTTAATGCTTATGAGACACAGGTAACCCTTAATTAATTACATAATATTCTTTTTAAAATGGGTTTATTTTAATTTTTTGTTATCATTATTTCAAGTACAGAGTTTCAGTATCTTAAATTGCATGTTGTATCGCTCTTAACAAGATATGGAGCACATAAATACTTGTGATCCTACTTATGCGTTAGTTTACCAAATAAATGTTTAACGTCCATTGTTTATAGCATAAAATATTACCCACATCAACCACCATGGGATACCACTTCACACTCCCTAGGATGGCTTTATTTTATTTTTTTGTCTTTGAAATGATTTATTTAGACATGGAAATGTGACTTAGGAACAAGTCATAAAGTTTGAGGATAATACTTTTTAAAAAAATTTTTATTGAATCATAATTTTACATATTTTGGGGGATCAACAATGACATATTGATCAAGTCAATAGTACTGGTATATATATATATATATATATTCTTAAAAAAGCAATAGTCCTTTGGTCCCTAAACTCTAAGGAATGATATGGTTTTGAAAGAAGTAAATCTGGGCTTCCCTTGTGAGAAGCCCTTGGCACCCCCAGGGCCCTCTGCTGCTTCCCCTAGATAGTCAATCTTCAGCCAGTCCTAGTTGCCCTGCTAGCCTGAGCTCTAATGCTGCAGGCACAGAACAACCCGCTTGATAAAAACAATCCTCAGAGTGGCCTGAGCCCCAGGCACCAGCCTTGGGTCCGATCCACTTCCATCTGCAGCTGCTCCTTCCGGAAGGGCTGCTCAAGCGTTTCTGTGCTTTTCCTTTCCTTTCTTCTCACTCTTCAGTTTCTGTTGTTGGGTATTAATTGATAAGGAGAAAAGGGGGAAAAAAGGCAAAAATCACCCTGGAGGGCAAGAACAGAAGAGCAGCTTGCCCCATCAGTGACATCTCAGGTGAGTGGCTGGACCTCTCTTCCTGAGGAGTGGTCTAGTTGCAGCAGGGCCAAGGCAGCAGGGCCTTGGCCCACTGAAGCCAGACCCCCAGTCCTGGATAGATGACCCCAGACCAACACTCCCTCCAGAGAGCTCCTGGGGTAGCTCAAGTGAAGAAGGACCATGCAGACCTTCTAGATAGCAGTTCTCTAAAAGTTGCAGGCAACTTTGTATGGACCATGGGCTCTGACAGAAACCTAGAAGAAAATTCTACCCATCACCCACTAGGCCCTGCAGATCCTACTTCTCAAGCATGTTTGCTTCTTTCCCCTCATCTCCATGTTCACTGCCATCGCCTCAGCCCTTGCATCTTGTCCCTTTGCTTAAACTCCTCAGCAGTTCTCTACCATCTCCAGCATAAAGTCCGAACTCATGGCCTTTAAGGCCCTGCACAAGCTGGCCCTACTTTTCTAGTCTCATTCTCCAACCCCCTGACACTCCCACATATGGGTTCTTCTTTTTTTCTTGGTGGCTGGCCAGCATAGGGATCAAACACTGAACCATGGTGTTACCAGCACCATGCTCTAACCAACTGAACTGGCTAGCCCTCTGAATTCTGTACTCTTATGGGCCCCTGGGGCTATTTCTGGAGTAGAGCTATTTGAATTTTGCTGTAATTGTCTCTCCCAGACCTTGCGGGAAGGAATGTTATCGAAATTATCTAAATCCTTGGATTGAAGGAAAAACACAAAATCTGCATCTGAGGATTCCTTCTAAGTTCCTGGCTCTTCTCTCTATCCCAGACTTTCTTAGAGGTAGGTGCCCTCGATGTCCCAAAAGGAACATCAAAGCTGGGAGGGCCTCATCACTCAGGCCTTATCTGCCTTGGGCCCATCAGGGACTCACCTTTCTGTGGCTGGTCAGTGAGAGCAGATCAGTAAGGCCGATTGGCATCCTTAGGCCTCTTTAGCTGGACCTTGAGCCTCTTCATGCCAATTTGAAAGCCATTCATGGCCTGAATAGCAGTCTGGGCACTGGTTGGATTGTCAAAACTAACAAACCCTGGCAGGGGGTGGGGTGGGGGGTGGGGGCAGAGAGGTTAGCTGAGAACCACCAGCAGGGCCTCCTTTCTCTCTGACCAGCACCCTGTTTTCCCAGCCCCCTCAAGCCAGTTCCGTCAAATATATACCCCTGTATTGTCTGCATGTACACGCAAGCACACACAGACGTGCGCTTATACTTACATGGGAAAATGGCCTGAGATTCCTAAAGATGTGATTGTTCGAAGGACAGGAGGCAACTCGGGGGAGGGGGGGGGCAGTGTATTGATTGAATGTTTCTCTGTCTTTCCCTGGCATAGGTTGGCTGTCTCCCTCTGCAGCTCCCATTTTGGTCTCCAGAACTGCAGTTGGAATTGGAGATGTCTCTGGTCCCACACCCAGATTCCTCTGCCCTGGCCAGACTCCAAAGCCCTGACATGGTAGAATGCATTCTAGACACCTGACTTCCCCACGTAAGCAAACCTGAAATAAGGCTTGTTCTTGGCCTAGTCTTATCCCCATCACTGGTTTATGACCCCACTTTGTTCCATACATTCAGTCTCTGGAAATCATTGCCTTATAGAGGAACGATCTTAGCGTCTGTAGAGAATCCTGCAGTTAGGAGTGGGAGAGGCCTAGGTACGGAGCTTGGCTCACCAAAACACTTGCTCTGGTTGGTGGCTCGATCCACAAAGACTTTGGCAGAGACAACGGCTCCGAAGGGCAGGAATGTCTGTATGAGTTCCGCATCACCAAACTCCTGAGGCAGGTGATAGATGAAGAGGTTACAGCCTTCTGGGCCTGCAGGAACAGTAGCAGGTTGGTTCAGGGGAGGAACCCTGAGTCTAGCCCCACCAGGCCCTGATCTCCAGCCCCCAGTCCCTCACCTTCTCTTTGCTGCTGGGGCAGGGCTGAAGGCTGCTGGGGAAAAGCTGTGCTCACTGGGGCATAGGCCGACGGATAGGCTGCTGGAGACAGAGGTGGGAGTGGGCAGTGACCCCAGGAGCCATCCCCTGAGGAGGGCCCCATCTGCCTGGCCACCTTTGTCCAATTCGGCCCATGTTCCACCATAACCCTTACCCCAAGAGAGGTCGTTTTGGCGGGGGGTTGGGGGGAGGGAGGTAGACGATTCAGAACAGAGCCTAACCCCCCATCAAATCTCCCTGTTCCTTTCTGGGGCCCTTCAACCCGCCCCCGCCGCCCCAGGCCGCGTAGCGCCAAGTGAAACCTGCGTAGTGGTGCATCCCAGCGTAGGCCTGCTGCAGGGGGTCAGCCACGCCGGGGCTCTGGGCTGGGGAGAGAGGGACGCGAGGCCCACGGTGAAGGCGGGCGGGCAAGGTCGGGCGAGAGGCTCAGGCAGTGTGGGACATGGATGACAGCTGTGAGACGCTGCGGGGAAGTAGGGGAATCTCTTCCGGGGAAGCTGGGCCCTGCCCTCCCATCCCCGCCCCCACCCCCGCTCCCCACCCCCCTTCGGGGAGATTTGGACGGAGCTGGGGGGAGCTGGGGGACAAGGGGCCCACCTGGGTAAGGGGAGAGCCCGTTATTGTAGAGCGTGTCGGAGCCTGGCTGCCCGTTGGTCTGAGGGGTGAGGGGACTGAATCCATTGACCCCGATGGGCGCCGGAAGACCTGGGAGCGTGCCAGGGCCGCCACCGGGCGGGGAGTTGGCTGCTGGCGGGGGACAGTTCTGAGTGTCAGGCCGCGGCCCCGTCCGGCCCCTCCCAGCCGCGGCTCCTGTCCCCCAGGACTCCGTACCTGCCGCGGGCAACAGCGGTGCGGCCACCAGGCTGAAGGCCGCTACGTGCTGCATCTGAGCCGCCACTGCGGCCACCGGGCCTAAGCCCGGGCCCTGTGCCGCCGCCAGCAGGGCCGCCTGGTGCTGCAAAATCTTTGAAAAGGACGGAGGATGGGTGTGGAGGGCCCAGCAGCGGGCAGCTCCCCGGTCTCCCTACCCCCGGCCTGTCCCAGCCACCTGCCCACCCGCCCCTGCCACAGCCAGGCACCTACCGCCGTGGTGTAGGCGCCGCAGGCCCCGAGTGGCAGTGGCGCGGGGTGGAAGGCGCCCAGCTGGCCCGCCATCTGCTGCATCCGCCGCAGCGCGCGCTCCCGGTCCGTGTCCGCCAGCTTGACCACGAGGCTGGACGAAGCGCCCTGGGCAGGGCAGCAGAGGAGGCCGCAGTGACCGATCTCGACCGCGGCCCTGGCCCTGTGCTGAGCGCCTTCCCCATCCGGCCCTTTCCCAGAGCACCGCACCGAACGCACTTGGGGAGGGGCCCGTCCCCGCCCCACTGGCCTCACCCTTGGCCTGGGCACCCGCCCTCACCGCCATGGTCCGGCTGCCGTGCAGACCCTGGATGGCCGCCTGAGCTTCCCCTTGACTCCCGAACTTCACAAAGGCACAGCCTGGGGCAGGATAGAGGGATTGGGTGGCTCAGGCCACAGGGGCCAAAGGGTTATGTGGCCCAGAGTGAGAAAGGGTCACCAGGAAATCCCAGGGTCAGATCAGGTCACCTTTACTGGTGCCATCTGGGCTCCGAAGGACGGTGCACTCTTCGATATGGCCAAAGGGCTGGAACAGGCGTCTGACGTCCTCCTCACCCTGCTGCTTGCCCAGCATTCCCACAAACAGCTTTCGGTCCTCTGGGGACAAAGTCAAGAATGACCTGGGGACCCCAAGCCTTCCTAGACTCTGCAGAGTAGACTGAATTGCTAGGAGGGTAGCTCACCAGTCTAGCTCTGGGAAGAGGTGTAGGGAGTGAGAAGGCCCCCAGGGCTACAAGGTTGGGTTTCTCTGAAGGGCAGGATGACCTATAGACAGATCTGGAGGAAAGGAACGCAGCCCAAATTTCCATCAGGAAAACCTGGGTTCTGGAGAAACTCAGAAGGGCTCACTGCTGCTATTGTGGGGAGTGGTGCTGTCTTGATATTTTGGGTGGGTATAGCCCTATATGCTTCATTGTATATGTTTAACTTTTCTGTTCTTAGAGTTTGGGAAATGCCGTTTTGGACCATTTTGATTGCATTAAGGGACGAGGTGTTCAGAGAAGGCCTTTGTATTCAGACTCGGTCCAGAGAAGAGAAGTACACATTTGCTGGCCAGCCTAGTGGCTAGAGTCAGTGCCCCTTCCTGCTCAAATCAAGGAGAGTTCTGGGTTAAAACAAACAAACAAATAAAAAACAGTTCTCATCCTCTGTCTCATCCCCAGACACTGAGCAATGGAATGATGAATCTCCACCCCCACCACCAAATCCAACCTGGATGCCCCTCCAAAAAGCCTACAGAGGGTAGGAAGCTTGGGTTCCTGAGCCTCCAACATTAGCATTTCTCTGTATATTTGCTGAACCCCTGACCCCTTTCCTTAACTCCTACCTCCACCACCCTAACGCTTACCAAGCTTCCAGGACCCTCTCTGAACCCTGTTGCCTTCTCTCTAGACTTTCCTGTCCTCTTGCCCTGATGCCTCCCTGACAGATCACATTATGGGAGAATAAGTTCTGCCTGTAGACCTGAGTGGCCCCCTGAGCACAAGTCTGATTCCCTCCCTGTGTCCACGTTTCCCATGCAAGTGGCAGAGATGCAAGAAAGGGGATGCAAGCTGGGCCTGTGTCCCCTGAAGGCAGCTAGAGAGCTGGGGCTGGCAACCAAGGCTTAGCTGCACATTCAACAAGTTGGGCCTCAGGAGCACTATCCAGGAGCATGGGATAGAGTCCCAACCCACAGGGCCTGCTGTTAAAGTCGGCTCTTCCCTGTACCAATGTAAGTCTCTGAATTTGGTATGGAGCTTGACCATGTAGGGGACAATACAAATTGGGAGAGAAGGAGTGGGTGGGGATCTGGCTCAGGCATCATCTTCAAGATCCTGGAGCTCAGGAAAACCCATCCCAAACTCCTTTACTCCTTGACAATCATGGCTAGGCAGATGGGGGTCCTTGGATCCTGAGTGCAGGGGATACAAATCTGGTGGGGTTCACAGACCAAAGCCTGGGCGACAGTGAAAAGGAAGAACAGACTGACTGAAATTAGTGGAGAGATCTCCAATAAGTGTATGTGTGTGTCCATATTTCACCTGGTGATGTGGAGTTCAGCCTAGGCTGCCCTGGGGATTCTAAGGTGTTTGTCTGTCTGTCTATGCTGTGTCTGTGTGGACGGTGGGGGCTGCAGTTCATATGTGGCAGGCAGAATATTTCAGCAGAATCCTGCCCTCTGTCGGCAGAGGTACTGCCCAGAGATCCTGAGGGGGAGGGGATGGATAATGTACTCGAGGCCGGAATTCTGGAGGAGGTGCCAACCTTCTGTGGTGAGAGTACAATCTAGTGGGTGTGCTTTGCTTCTGGGGGTGTTAGCTACAGAACAGTACCCTTGGAGCAGGTCACTTGTTTCCAACCTTTTATAAAAAAAAAAAAAAAGTGGTGGAATACATTGTTCTAACAAAAATATTAGGATGCACAATTATTGTCAATTAAAAAATAAATAAGTGTTTTAGGGCAGGCCCGGTGGCGCACTGGATAGTGCGCCGCTTGGGAAGCGCGGCGGCGCTCCCGCCCGAGAGTTCGGATCCCACATACAGACCGGTTCCCGCTCGCTGGCTGAGCGAGGCGCGGAAGCAACGCCAAGGGTTGCAATCCCGTTGCTGGTCCCCGGTCCAGTACAGGGGCAACACTGAGGGTTGCGATCCATTGCCAGACACGGAAAAAGACAAAAAGACAAAAAATAAATAAATAAATAAATAAATAAGTGTTTTAAATGTTAAAAAAATATAAGGATGAAGCTCAAAATATAAGAGAAAAGCAGAACTGCTCTGACTGAAGCCAGAAAAGAGGGGAGGGGGTGGGAGTTCTTCCTGCTTGATCCTCCCCTAGTAACCTCTAGAAAAAAGGAAAGCCCTTTGAAACCATTGACCTAGGAGATAGAGAATAGAGTTCCAGATAGTGTATGAAGAAAAATGTGAGATCATCCTATTCAGGAACCTGAGAAGACAGGAAAGGTCTTTCATGAATCTGTTTACTGGTCTGATGTTGGTGGCTTTGCTTTGATATTGGAGGACAGGCCCTGTTTGGTCAGGGAATCAAACCCCAGAAGACTGTGTCATTGTTCTGAGCTATAACAAAGTGTGCCGATGTGGCTGCAGAAGGCCCAAGAGGGGCTGGAGAAGATCCTAGGGCCTCCACAGTCCAAAAGGGGCTTTATGATGCCCTAATTTATAGTGTTACTGGGTAGGGTCTGCAAGATGATGATGGCACCCAGATAAGATGTCATGCCACATGGACCAGCATCCAGGTAGCCCTGTGTAGGAAGAAAGGTATCACAGGCTGAGATAGAGCCCCAAGATAGGAAAGATGTTTTTATGGATGGTTGTGTTCTGATCCTTCATCTGCTCATCCTTTTACTGTTCTTTTCTGCTGATGGTGGTTAGTTCAAGCTCATGTCATGGTACATGAAGTTCTCTGATTCTTTTCCAGCAAGAATCTCCCAAGCTAAGAATTTCTGTTTGCATGTCAGAGCACTGACCCTAGGTTCTGGGCTACTGGGGTGTACAGAATTTGAAACTGAAATAAGCACCCACTATGGACTAGGCTCTGTGCTGCTTGTATTACCTTGAATCCTGTTATCACCTTTAAGCCTGGCATCTCCCTCACCATTTTATAGGATCTTTATAGTGTTTGACAGGAGGATGAGCTGTGTTACAGTGACTATGAGCCTCAGGTGACTCAAAATGGAGGGTAAGTTTCTTAAGATACCTGGTCAAAGAGAAGTACAGGTTGGACCCCTGAGAAGAGCCTCCAAATCCACTGCCCTGAAGATTCTGAGGGCTGATTAATGCCCCCAAAGAGATGCTGATGGGATATATCCCAGATAATTCTATTTCCTTTTATCAATTTCCTCAATTTCCTTTTACCAAACCTGTAGATCAAACTCTACCAGTTTGTTAAAAAGAGGATGCTACAAGAAGCACATCAGAAGTATCTCAATAAAAGCATCCCATGGGTGGTGGGTAGGTCCCTAGAAAGATGGGGATATCACACATGGAGACTCAACCTTCCTGGCGTGGAAGAAATTGGAAGGCAGCATCAATGCAGCAACAATTGGCAAACAATGTACTCCTTGTTCTTCTACCAAATAGCATTTGAACTCAAAACAAGTGGCTTAGGCTCCCAGAGGCCCATCTCCATGAAGCTGCCTTGTGCAGCTGATCATACAGGTCAAGGATTCCAATGCAGCTTTGCAAATGATGGAGCTGAGAGCCCAGAAATCATAGCAGAGTCAGTGCAGTTCATCTTCCTCAGGAAGGGCACTAAGATGCTGTTCAAGAAAGGAGGCTCTGCCTCACCTGGTCCAAAGGAATTCCCAAAGTGTTGAAGTGTCTGGTTTCTAGGCTTCTCACACCCACTACATCTATGTTGGTGGGATGTCATGATTGTATGGACAGTGTAGGGAAAGGTCTCAGCCATGGAATAGCAACCACTAAACACATCCTAAAAATATTGGTCCACCATTCAATTCAAATACCAATCCAGGAAGTCCTGCTGGTGGTAGCAATTGTAGCAAAGTATCTCTCTCCTGTTCTCAGTGATGATTGCAGCATAAGAAGCCAAGGAGGACTGGGAAAGTGAGTGAAGGAAGTATTCAAGACATTTACAATAGTATCAAAAAGAATAAAATACTTAGGAATAAACTTAACCAAGGAGGCAAAAGACTTGTACAATGAAAACAACAATATGTTGCTGAAAGAAATTAAAGAAGATACAGATAAATGGAAAGACATCCATGCTCGTGGATTGGAAGACTTAGTGTTAAGATGTCAATACTACCCAAAGTTATCTACAGATTTAATGTAATCCCTATGGTGTTTTTTGCAGAAATACTTGAAAAATCCATCCTAAAATTCATATGGAATTTCAAGACACCCTGACCAGCCAAAACCGTCTTGAAAAAAAGGAGCAACTTCTTGATTTTAAAACTTACTGCAAAGCAACAGTAATCAAAACTGTTTTACTGGCATAAAGGCAGACATATAAACCAATGTACTAGCATAGAAAGCTCAGAAATAAACCCTTACATATGAGATCAAATGATTTTCAACTAGGATGCCAAGACCATTCAATGGGGAAAGGACAGTTTTTTCAACAAATGGGGTTTGGAAAACTGGATATTCACATGCAAAAGAATGAAGTTAGACCCTTACCTTACACCATATACAAAAAATTAATCAAAAATGGATGAGTCCTAAAAGTACCACGTCCCCTGCCCTTGAGGAGAGCTAAAGCTATAGCACTCTAAGAAAAAAAAAAAAGGAAAAAAACTTCATGGCATTGGATTTGGCAATGATTTCTTGGATATGACACCAAAAGCACAGGCAACAAAAATAAAAATAGATAAACTATATCAAAATTAAAAACTTCTGTGCATATAAGGACACAACCAACAGGATGAAAAGACAACCTATGAAATGGGAGAAAATATTTGCAAGTAACATATCTAGGGAGTTAAAATCCAGAATATGTAAAGAACTCCTACCACCCAACAATTAAAAATGGGCAAAGCAGGCACAGAAAGACAAATACTGCATGATCTCACTTATATGTGAAATCTAAAAAGAAAAAGTGGGCCTCATAGAAGTAGAGAGTAGAATAATGGTTAC